GACCACAGGGATCAAGAGCCACAAAAACATGTGGCCCCAAAGCCACCCTATGGTATGCAGACATACTGGTAATATGAGTTTCAATTCCATAGGCAGCAGAATCTCAGTGTAATTGTACACAAGAATTCAGTCTGTATGAGCAATGGGTTTGCACACTATAATCTGGTTGATAAAGATGAGGTATTAAATTTCCCCCCATAAAGACCTAGCAAGATGTACTTGTAGGGTGTGATTTCCACAAAGAAGAGTGGAAAATACTAATGGCAGATATAGATTTTGGTCCTAATTTAAAAAAAGGAAGTAGCTATATGAATACATAACTTATTCCTGTAAAGGTTTTTATCCAAAGCAAGCCAACAGAAACAATTTTGTTCAAGTATATGCAAGTTATTTTTGTGAATGTTTTACTCTTTTGACTTGACTAGAAGTCTGTGGGTACCTTGGTATCCATTACTCTCAAAGAAGATCATTTGTTCAATTAACAGATGCTGGCCTATCATAGTAAGTTTCTTGTTGTAGATGGAGGAGGGATAAAGCAAGGAAGAAATGTTACAGAGCTTGCTAGTACAAGATTCCTGACAGTGTGGCCTTAAATCATTAAAACAACTCTGGCATGTGATCTAGAAAAATAAAAAGGGATGGTCAAACCTCAGTTTTGAGACAGGAAACAGATTAGGACTTAATTCTTTGAAATTTTAAGTCTCCAACAAAGGTAAAAAGCTTTCATTTAAGCTACAACTGCCATGGTTTACCTATACAGCACCTACAATGTTTTTTTAAAAAAGGTTACTGCATTTGGTTAATAATTAATATTCTTAGAAAAATCTAATAGTTAGTTTCACATTAAGAGAGGAAAAATTAACTATTTCCCCCTTAAATTATCATTCAACTTCTTATCAGAATGAAGCTTAAAAACAACTTTGGTTTTACTTCCCAGCCTCTTGTCCCTCTTTTGGTTCTTGTTTCACATGGATTTCAAGAGTTTCTATAACCTTCTAAAGTCTTCCACATTTCATAAATATAAGTGCTTGGTTGAAATAACACCTTTTATTACGTTAGAAAAATGGTGAGGTTGAAGGAGAGCCAGTTAGTGAAGCTGCTAACCTTCAAAGTCCTTAAAACTATTGAGCCCATTAGAACTACTCTTAAATAAGTGGCTTGAATCTTGTCACTTAAACGCTGTTAAGTCCCTAACCCTAGGGACTATCAGAAATAAAGTGTTTATCAGAAATCCAGGCCTACCTAGGAAATGTAAAATCTATTGACTTGTGAGCATGGTCTCTCATTTAATTACTTAAATTATTTGGAAATTAAGTTATACCCAATTAAGTTAAAAATACATTTAATTGTTGCATTTTTTTGTTAGAAAACATCTAATTTAGGGGCAGAACAGACTGCCCTGAAGGAATGGCTTGAAGCCGCCCCTTTGAACACCGGGTTGGGGCTGGAGCAACCGCACACCATGGCCCCAATCCAGCTTTTTGCCAGCACAAGTGACAAATTGCAGTTTTTTGCGCCACCAAAAGCTGGCTTTTCCAGTGCCATTGTGACTCTGTAGTGCTTCTGCAGGGTGTAAACACAGCACACCACAGGGATGCTGCAAAACTGCCCCCAAGTGGTTGGGCATGCAGTGTGATGTTGGCTTCAGGGCGATGTCTAAACGCTGCCCTCTGAATCCACCCTGAAGCCAGCCCAAAGTGGGATCTGTTCCACCCCTTAACCGACTTTCATTAGTTCATATCACTGCGTAGGCCCTACCAACTGAGTAACTAGGTCAGCATAGTAGCAATTATTAGAATTCATGGTATATATGGCATTAGGAAGCAAAATATAATCCTGCAATCTTGATTAAAACTGAAAATTATCTGAGTCTACCGTATATACTCATGTACAAGTTGGCCGTATATACTCATGTACAAGTTGGCATCATGTATAAGTCGAGGGAAGGTTTCAGGGTCAAAATCATGGATTTTGACAGGACCCATGGATAAATTGAGGGTAAAACTTAGGGGGCTATGACAAAGGATGGAAACGGGAAAATACCACTTCCGTCCCTCCTTCTCCTTCTCTGGACCACTCCCAACCACCTAACGCCGATTCCCAGGTGCTGGAAGAGAGGTTTTAACATCAGATTGAGAAGGGAAGCAAGTGGTGTTCAATAAGTGTTTTTTTCCATGGGAAGGGAAGCCTGGCAAATCAGACAGGGGGAAGAAGTGGTGTTCAATGGTGAGTTTCTTCCATGGGAAAAAAAGCTTTGCAAATCAGACTGGGGAGAGAAGGAAGTGGTGTTCAATTTTTAATTCTTTTTTTTTAATTTTCAGATTCTCTTAATCCTGCAGAACCACCTTGCATAATCTGGTAAATTCATTGGCCAAATCGAACTGTCTTCCTGTAGAAAGATTCATTACTGTTTTAATTGTTTTCTCTTCTTTTTCAATTAGATTTAGCATTCCTAACTTGGAAATGGTGTATATATCTGGAACCACACAAAAAATTAACTATCACATGACAAAATTAGCTGACAATAGCCACCCAGTTTGGTTGAATATTCCAGTGATCATAGACCCTTTGCAGACTGTCAGAAATAGTGCAAATTGAGTCCACATTAACTGCCCTGACTCAGTGCTAGGGAATCATGGAAGTTGTAGTTGTGGCACCAGGGCTCTCTGATAGAGAAGGCTCAATGTCTCAGAAAAAAATACAGTTCCCATGATTCTCTAGCACTGAGCCAGGGCAGTTAAAGTGGACTCAATTTGCACTATTTCTAGCAGTCTGCAAAGGCCCATAGTTCATATTTTTGGTTCATATCAAAGAACCTAATACTGAGAGCTTTAAAAGAATTCGTATTTTAATCGTCAGTCAGTGTGTGCAAATGTGGGTAACTGTTATGCTCTGATATGTCTTGAGGAATAGAACCAGTGACAAATTTCATTCCATCACAACCAAGATTGAGAGAACTTCATAAAAGACAGAGAGAAGTATCTTTGAAGAGAAATTATTGCATGAGATATCAACAATCAGCTAATTTCCTGATGGAGGAATATTTTCATGGAGATACTGCAAAGCCAAGTCAGTCCATTTCATTTCTTGTTCTTTTACTGATTCTGTTGTTCCACCATTGTCTTGCTCTGGCTCAGGAAGCTCATTCTGAGTAAAAAAAAAAATATTAAAATAAAACAGAACAAAATAATCACATAACATAAAAATACTTCTGAGCATGTATGTTCAGAATCTAGAAGCAGTGGCTTGCTAATAAAAATTCATGTGTAGAAACAGAAGTCTGCAAATTCACACTGCATTTCTTATACAGAATGAGAAGTAAAACACACTCATTTGAGTGGAGTTTATTTCTGAGTAACATAAAAAATCATGAAAGTAATGAGACTAATGAAAAAATCTATGCTCTGTCTATGAACTTCTATATGACTATATATCTTTTCTGCCACTATTGTTTTGTTTTTGTTAATTTATTAAGTTTTCCTAGGTTTCTGAATTTACCTATTAAATTTATATCTCACATTTCTCGCAGCATGGGACCTAAGGTGACTTACAATATTAGTTCGTGGCTGATTTTACATGCAGTTATTACTATGGTAAGAGGTTTTTTGGATGAATGATACATATAGTTATAAATAAAAAGGACTGGGAATGCTGACAAGGAAAATCAATTCAGAATCTAACCTAGAACATTTAACTTACCAATGGGATCGCCACATCTTCATATGGTAATTTATCTTCTCTCCATGCATCATCAATCAAATCTAGGATTCTC